GAAAGTGCCACTGACAAACCGATTCCCAGACAGGCCCACATATATGGCGATGTGGAGGCCAGGAACCAGCCAACGCTTACTCGTTCACCTTTGCCTGTAAGCACAAACTGGAAGGTGAGCACAATACTGGTGGCCAAAAAGAGCCATCCGAATGTGTGTAAAACAACGGTGCGTATCTGTGCCATTCTGCAAGTTTTTCACGGTGGATCTGTAAATGGTATACCAAATTTTATTATTTTGTATAAATTACGCAGAATTTAGATATCGGAACTGCGAAAAATCTAAAAGAAAAAACTTACAAAAATACCAAGACTACTTCAGTGACAGGTGACCGAGAAAAACTTTACTCATCACATGACAGCCGAACAATGCTGCCCTCTGTTGGCTAAATTTTGTTACAATTTGATTGATGTGGCCTTGCAATTACCTTCAGGGTTGCCTGGTTTTAAATTTAATTCATGAAACAGTTCAAACAAAAATAGCATGCTATCTCTTAAATTTAAAATTGATTTTTTTTTTTATAATCTAAAGTTACTTTTAAAATTGATTTCATTTTTGCTATTTACCTCCGATTTCATAATAAAATTAAATCAGGTTTTAAAATTTACAGAATGCTTTATTTTGCTGATCGATTTCATAAAGCCACTTTAGGGATAAAGGTGTTGTTTATGACAATCAGCTGATGCAATTTTGCCGAGATCAGCATTGTTAACCTTGTTCTTTTCATTTAAATGAACCTTTTGTTATTATTCAATTGCCATTGTATTATCAAAACATTTCTTGTTTAAAGTACATCTTAAAGACACTTTAACTAAAAAGAAACTTTTGCAAAAGGAACTTTAAGTGTTTCATTATGAAATTGGCCATTACCAATACACTTTTCTACTAGAGTATTAAAATTGATTAAACTAAAACTATGACAACTATAAAAAATAACAACATTCAACATGCTTCGAGTTCATTCAACGAACTGTAGAAGAATTTTGACATTATTTATATCATTTTTTAATTTTTAGTAAGGAATTAAAAAGTTGAATGTGTAGATTGAGAGTAAGTGCACGTAGTGTTGCCGAGCTCTCTTGAATCATGATGCAATAAATAGTATCGGCTGGCAACTTCTCGCTCTAATTCCGCCATATTAGTTGCGTTCCAGCAGCAGTACGAATAGCGGGTTTTGCAGGATTTACAGGAACAGCTGTTTTCGTCCTTAATAAACCTTATGTAAGGTGTCGTGCGGGAACAGCTTCCTGTAAAATCCTGCTATTCGTACTGCTGGAACACAACTATTGCCTGCCTTAGGTGAAAGAGTGTTACTTCTTTAACAATACTTTGCCTAATAATATAGTTAAATGTTTTTATTTTTTCTCAGTATAAACATGTTATTTTCTTAAAAAGATATTTTATCTTATTTATTTTCATTTCATTACGAATATACTATAAAAGAGCAAATTTTGTTTAGGAGAAAATGTGAAATTTTTCCCCCATATCGGGATTGATTTCTTCCCGTTTTTCTTCTCATTCTACTGAGCTAAGGCAGTGTAAATCGAGCTGTCACAGCTGATACCACCGTGTATCATTAGTTGCGCTCCAGATGCTTCACGATATTCGCGAAATTCACGATTTGCAGGAACAGCTGTTTTCTCCATTAATAAACCTTATGGGAGGTGGTCACCTGGAACGACTTCCTTTAAAAACCTGCAAATCGTGAAGCATCTGGAACGCAACTATTGCATCATGGGTATTCCGCACTTGTTCCAGTTAGGAATGTTCGATATTTAAGAAAGTATCGATATCATGAATCGATTTAATTCATTGCATGTAAAATCGATATGGCGATATATCGGGCTGAACAATATGAAATATCGGAAAAATCGATGTTGAGAATCCTTCTCCCAATTGAATAGAATATTAGCCATAGTTATGAACTCAACTAATTGTGTTATTTCCATCTTGTATATTTCTGAGGATTAAAACGGCATGCTGGTCGACTCAAGCGGTTTGTCAAACCTAAGAGCTAAATAAATCACACAAGCTGTTGATTAAACCTACAATAGTATTTTTCCATACACTTCTTTGTAGATGAAAAATAAATAAACACCCACATTGCAAGAATCGTATCGAATGTAAGTCGTTTTTCGAGAGTCGAATCGTATTGAAAATTTCACGTCATTGCCTAAAATTTCCACTCGACTAGTGTATTAAAACGGAAAATCTTGGCAGCACTGCGAAGTTTTCGTCGTTTACTTATTTTAGCACGACAGTAGGCAATGCCAATGATGTCGGGTCGTACAATTTAGCCTAATTTATGTCTTTCGCAATGAGGCTGAAAAACTTAAATATCGATATTGCGGGTAAAATATCGATGTCTTCGATATATCGACCTTGGAATATCGATTCAAAAAATCTATTACCGTGCGATGAAATATCGATATTCAGAAAAATCTATACGACATCGAACATTCCTAGCTACTAGAGTTGTCAAACTATCATGGCACTATCGATAGTTCAAATTTTTTTAGACTATCAATACTCATTGATAGTTTTTTCTTATACTATCAAAAATATCGATAGTTTAGTAGGACTATCGATCATCTCTCCCAATTTTTTATAAATTATACATACATATGTTAATCCTAAATCCTGTTTTGTTTGTATAA